CATTTGAAATATATTTCTTTTCTCTTTTGTTCATTTATTTTCTTGAGTGCTTAATTATTTTTTATACTTGTTAATATTGTTTTAAGACTTGCGAAAAATAATAAAAGTAATTGTAATAATAAATAAAATGCAAATACATTTTTAAAAATTAATTTGTTTGTAGATATGTGATGAAATAAAATGAGATTTGAAAAAAATGAAGTGTAAAAATGTTGTAATTCAAAAGTGATTTTTAGAAGAGGGTTTTAGAATAAATAAAAAAAAGTTTCAAAAAAATGATTTTGAAAATCTTACTTAGATATTGAAGAGCTTTTCAATAATTATTTTTTTTACAGAGGAATATTATGTCAAATTTTAAGAAATATTATGAGAATTCTAAGTGAAGGAATTTTGCCACAATTTCACCTAGATATTAGGGAATTTAGAAAGATTTTGAAACTAAATATTCTTATTTTATTTCTAAATAAAATGAATTAAATTTAAATATGTGTTAGGTAATTTTAATTGATTGTTTGCATTTAATTTACAATCATGTCATACATTTGCGTTATATGATATTGGCTTGCATGTTATTGTTTTCAAAAAATTAATGAATGGCAGTTTTTGAGAAAACTATTTTTAATAATAAAAAACTAATTCCGAAGTAAAATTATTATGTCAAATTTTAAAAAATATTATGAGAATTCTAAGTGGAGGCAATTTTTCATAATTTCGCCTAGATATTAGAAAATTTAAAAAGTACTTTGAAACTAAGGATTATCATTTTATTCCTAAATAAAATGAATTAAATTTAAATATGTGTTAGATAATTTTAATTGATTGTTTGCATTTAATTTATATTCGTTTCATACATTTGCACTATATAACGTTGGCTTGCATTTTATCGTTTTCTAAATATTAATGAATGGCTAATTTTGGGAAAACTATTTTAAATAATTAAAAAAACTAATACTCTCAAGTAAATATAATTTTTGGAACCTTGCTTAAATATTAAAGGGCCTTTTAATAATTATTTTTTATAAAAGAATATTATGTGAAGTTTTTGAAGGAATTAGTATGAAAGTCCTTAGCAAAGAAATATTCTTCAAAATTTTGTTTAGCTATTGAAAAATTAGAAAATGTTTGGATGTTAAAATTTTCATCTTTTTCATAAATAAAAGGTTCCAAAAAGATCTTTACGAAAAGATAAAATTTGAAAGAATCATTTTTAAATATTAGAATTAAGACTATTTTTATCATTAGTAAGGACAACATTTATGATCAATTGGTACTTTTTTTTTTAAGTAGACATTGTAGGGATGTTAATTTTTTTTATGCATGATCGACTCCCGAAGTTAATTCTATTTTCGTAAATCAAAATTATTTTTTTGATAAATTTTAAATTTTTTTATTATTTTACTAAAAAAATAAAATTTTTAATTAATCAATCTCACCTAATAAAAAAATTGATGATGATTTTCCCTGTTTTGAAACTTTCAAAATTTTTGTCTAGCTGTTTCCTAAAAATGTCATGATAAATTGCAACAGACAGGACAAAGGTGAAGGCTAGTCGGGTGGTTGTAGGAGGGATGGTAACCCTTACGGGTTGGTGCCGTGCAAGGCATCTTTTTAGCATTTTTCTTTTTCTCATTTTTCATTTTTGAATTTTTCTTTAATATTTTGGATTTTTCTAATTTCTTTAATGATTAAAATTTAATTAATTGAACATTGGATTTTAAATTGAAAATTGAATTTCGGGCTTTCAAACCCAATTGATTTAGACCTTGAACTTTTAAGCCCAATTGGCTTAGACCTTTGGGCTTTCATTCTTAAATGGCACATGCAAATTGAAACATATTGGACCTAGGCCTAACATTTGGGCCAAATTTTAATTTTGAACCCTTTTAAATGGATTGTGTTTCAAAGTTAATCCAAAAATAAATATTAAATCTACTTAGTAAAAAATTGAATATAAATTCGAAAATTGAATTAATTTAGAACACAAAATCAATAGTCCAAATAAAATTTAGGGTTTATAATACTTTTAAAATATATTTTAGTTTATATAAGTACTAATTAGTTTTATTCTCAATTTATTTTAATTTATTCAAAAATAATAATAAATCAATCAAATTTCAAATTAAACTAAACTACTAAATGATTAACTTTTGGACTATTCTATTTTTTTCCCCTACAAAGTTGAAGGTTAAAATTTGAGTAAAAAAACCAAAAACTAAATGGCGGCAAATGAAAGTAAAATAAAAAGCCTTTCAAAATTTGTCATTTCCTACAACTTGTGCTCCTTCCTAAATTTATCATTTCCAACTAGTTACTGTGTCACATCCACGTAAACTGGTCACATTGATCAGTTTCAAGCAATTTCGGTGGATTTTTAAATACATCTAAAAGAGACAACAGCCCAAATTCCACAAGCTACGGTTAGCTCTTAAAAGTTTATCCATTTTGTCTTGGTTAAGTTATGCTAACAATATCTGTAGTCTATCAAAATTTAAAATTTAATATTTTTATTATAAATTATATAAATATAATTTTTATATTATTTTAATTTGATAAATTTAATTTAATTGCTGACTCTGTCCAATTTTTTTTTTATAAAAAATACTCAGTCATTGACTTTACATACATGACTTTTAATATGTCAAAAATCCTTACTCCGTGAAAAATTGTAATTTAGTCATTCCATTATAATTTATACAAATTTATTTCTCATATTATTTTGATTTGATTTTTTTTGTCTAATCACTAACTCTATCCAATTTCTATCGATAAAAATATTAATGCGATCGTTGACCTAATGACTTAGCTATTAATTTTGTTTATATAGCATTTTGATTAGTGAATATTTATGTAGATGTTGACATGAATTAAGTGACATACCACATGGCTTGACTTTTATTTATGTCATTTTTAAATTTTTATTTTTTTAGAAACTCCTTAATAATCAAATTTTATTTCTTTAGACAATAATAATAAAATTAAACAACTTTGAAAATGAAAAAAAATAAAAAGTTGAAAAGAACACTCAAATCCCAAATCACTAGCACTCATTCCCCAAATTCGAGTTCCCTATCACTCTATCTTAATTGCACATTCTTAATTTTAAATGATCACTTCAAATATCACAACCAACTTTAAAATCAATTTCAATGTAAAAAAATGCACATTAATTCCTATACAACTAATTATTATTACAACCAAAGAAATACTTTTCATGATTCTTATCACTTGTTGTAATGACTAGAGGAACCTTCAACTAAACCTGGCAATTCATATTATTGTATTGTATAAAATATTATATTCGTATAATATTTTACACAAAAATTACGTGTTATAGTTCATGTTAACACGAAAATATAAAATACGATTTTTTTATTTTATTAAACTTATTTATGATTTTTTAAAAAAATTTAAGTTGTGTTATATTCAAGTCATTTATTCATATTGTGTCATTATGTTGTGTTTCAAATTCTTAGATCTACTCTCAACACATTAAACATCTAATAGTAGCTTCTCATCACTTCTAGGATTTTGAACAGCTCAAGTAAACCTAAGTTGTTTGAATAACTTCTTTTCCCTCACTAACGATAGTTTCAAGCAATAATTGAAAACCTTAAATACCTATGATTAAGGCTTCGAATTTGGGCACTAAGTGTTAACAATTTGGGATTTGGGTGTTCTTTTTGTTTTTTCATTTTTAGAGTTGTTTTTCCTTTTTTTCAGTTATTAATATTTAATGAAATAAAATTTGATTATTAAAGTTTTTTTTAAAAAATAAATAAAAAGTTTAAATTTGATGTGAATTGAAAGTCAAGTCACATCGCATGTCATTTAATCCTAATCAACATCTATTTAAATATTCACCAATCCAAATACTATGTTGGCGAAGTCAATAGTCATATTATCATGTCAATGATTATCTCAGTATTTTTAATAATAAAAATTGAATGAAGTTAATGATTAGATTAAGATTTTCAAATCAAAATAGTATGAAAATTACATTTATATGAATTATAATAGAATGACTAAATTTCAAAATTTCAACAAAGTGTAAGGGCTATTAACATAATTTGACCAATATTCACCAATCAAAATGCCACTTGAGCAAAGTCAACAATCATGTCATTAGGTCAATAACCATGTTACTAGGTCAACGGTCATGTTAACATTTTTTATGGCAAAAATTGGATTGAGTTTTTAATTTGATTAAGATTATCAAAATTAAAATAGTATGAAGACTATATTTGCATTAATTAGAGTCGAGAGATTAAATTTCAAATTTTGACAGAGCACAATGACTTTTGGCATAATTTGACTTTTTTACTATTATTAAACTAAGATTAATTTAGATAGATGATGAAATTAGTTTTGAGCTATTGAAAATCGTGATGGTAAGGAGATTAGTTACTATAGTGGTAATATTGAGTATTGTCACAATAAGATTAAAATTAGATGTGGGATACGTGTTTAGATGCAAATGTAATGTTGTGGTGAAATGAAGTATAAGGAGAAAAAAAAATGGCCATTAAGAACATTAAATTAAATTTTGTATAAAATGAAATTTATAGTATATATTTGATATGTGTGAAATTAATAAATAATTAAAAATTATATACATGTATCAAATAATACTTTATAAATTACAATGTTATAAATTACTACATTTGTGTTAGAAAATTTTTATTCAATAATAATGATATTATTTTATTTAAAATAAAATATTGAAACTTTCCGATAAAAGCAGATAAATGTCCTAAACTTGTTTTTAACCTTACATGACATTTATTTAGGATAAACGACTGTTTAATAAAAGGCAATCGATTGTTCTATAAATAAAATTGGAATAAAAACCTTTCAATTGTCCACTAGATGATTCCCTCTCCATAGACGAATGGAGATCGACACCTTATCCGTTTGGATATAAATGGTTGGACCAAAAGGAGTCTATTTGAATCCAAACAAACCCCAACTTTAGAAGTATAATGATCCAAGAACAAAGGGATTCCTAATTTCTATCACATGTCACCGCATTTTTCTGCCAACATGGGGTACATAAGTCTTAACATAACCCAAAATTTTAAAGGAAAATAAATGCATTGCAAATTCAACTTTCAAATAGCACTGGGAGGAGGGGGAAACGACGTGGGGAGCACAATTCAAAATGAAACTTCTGAGAAGGTCAACGGCCAACTGCCACCTCCCAAAAACCAACGGTCATACCTAAGACAAGCAGCGGATACCCTTACTTATCAATTCCCTCCAACCAAATTACAGAACCAAAAACTTAACCAATAACAAGAAACATGGAACATCAATTCCCGGTATTTGCGTTATGATTTTTGCTTAATCAGCTAAACCTATCTCATATTCACAAAAACAATAAAGATTAAAAAAAAAAAAATTTGCCTTGGTGGCCTGGCCAATCAGACCTGATCATGGAGAACAACCTCAACTGTGAAAAGTCCGGTAGCTTCTCGAGAATTGGCAAACGAAGGAGCAAAAGTATATCAGAGACCTTTAGTTTCAAATTAGACGGTCTGGAGCCAAAGGGATGTGATGAGAATCAAAATCCTGATGAGTTGTCCTTGGAACCTGGTTTGAACCTTGATCAGATCCTGGAAAAGGTTGATCAATTCATCGAAAAGTCAGCTTCGGGTGAAGATAAATGGAAAGCCCCCGAAATTCCAAATTGTATGGAGCCATTATTGGAGATGGTTGAGTACAGGATTGCAATATATGAACAGAGGGAAGCGTCAGCGAAGTTTGGCCAAAACCTGGAGGAAGACACCTCATTTTTTGAAGCTGTAAGACGCGTTTCGATGATCATAAATAATCTTGATGAATTCCCATTGGATTCGAGTGCAACTGCTTGCCTTAATCGAGCAGGCTCTGTTCACCATCGTGCCTTGTTGTTATCGGAATACGAGTTCCGTTCTCTTCTGGACAATTCCAAACGCATCGGAAATATAAATATAGATTTGAGAACTCCAAAGACTCCCAAGCAATCTTTCTTCAACTCCAATCAAGAGACAGATCGAAGCATCCGACCCGAAAACGACCACAAAACAGAGGACGAGTTTCCATCTTTTTCACCTGAATCAATCGCCACCATGAACCAAATCGCCACCGCAATGATCTGTGCAGGGTACGAGGCAGAATGTTGCATTGTTTATAGTGTTCTTAGGCTAAAAGCATTGGATATCGAGTTGAACAAGCAAGGCTTCGAGAATATCAATATGGACGATATTCAAAGGATGAATTGGGAATCACTGGAAGGAGAGATCGGTAATTGGATTCACATTGTCAAGCATTGCACCACGAATCTCTTTTCAGCTGAAGGCAAGCTTTGCAATTCTGTATTTTCGGAACATCCTTTAATCGCTCGGAGACTGTTTTGCGATCTCGCAACATCCTTGACAGTAAGGCTTCTTAATTTTCCAAATGCTCTGGTGTTGACCAAACGATACTCGACAGAGAAGCTATTCAAGTTTTTAGATATATACGAGTCATTGCGTGATTTGATTCTGGGTATTGGTAATGACTCGTCGGCGCAGGATTTGATATTCGAGACATCTGTGGCACAATGCAGGATTGGTGAAGCCGCAGTGAGCATTTTCTGTCAGCTTGAGAATTCAATCAAGAGTGATAATGGCAGAATCCCAATGGCATGTGGAGCTGTTCACCCCTTGACTCGCTATACAATGAATTATCTAAAATACGCTTGTGAGTATAAGGACACACTAGAGCAAGTATTTCAACAGCACTACGACTTGCAGGGATCCACCAGGCAGAATGTTCAGGAGCAGGAGTCTAAGAACTCCATTGAAAACGATGATTGGAGCCCCAAAACCTCCCCTTTTTCTGTGAAATTAATGATGGTCATGGATTTGTTAGATGCCAACATTGACATGAAATCAAAGCTGTATAGGGACCCAGCATTGCGTTACATTTTCTTAATGAATAATGGGAGGTATATTTTGCAGAAGATCAAGGGGTCCAAGGAAATCTATGAAATGATGGGTCATTCTTGGTCGCGGAAACGAACTTCAGATTTAAGGCAGTACCATAAGAATTATCAAAGGGAAACATGGAGCAAGGTATTGCAGTGCATAAACCATGAGGGTTTGCAAATGAATGGGAAGGTGTCAAAGGCTATATTGAAAGAAAGGTTCAAGAGCTTCAACACTTTGTTTGATGAAATCCTCAAGACGCAGAGCACTTGGGTGGTAAGCGACGAACAGCTTCAGTCAGAGCTTAGAGTTTCTATATCTGCCGTGGTGATTCCGGCATACAGATCCTTTCTGGGGAGATTCAAGTCATATCTTGATTACAGTAGACAAGCAGAGAAATATATAAAGTATCAACCAGAAGATATTGAGGGGTTGATTGATCAACTATTTGATGGAAACACGACATCAATGGGTAGGAGGAGACCATAATTAATTCATGTCACTGAAACGATTTTTTTTTTCTTAGGAAGATGAAGAAGATCATGTTGCCTGCCATCTGGTTCATTCATTTGTATTTCCTTTATGTTGCGTCAACAAGACCCTGTTGTGAACTACTTGGTAAAATCTGAGCAAATGCTTTGGAATATTACAACAAATTTTGCAATATGATGCTTATGAGAAATCATTGATCTTAATCTTGATGAGAAATTTTGCAATAGTAACAAAGAGATATCTAATTGCAATTTAAGGAATCATTAATCTTGATTTAATTCCAGTCATTAATCAAACATTTCAACCAACATTTGGAGGTAAATCAACAAGATAGTTCAGGATAGTATAGGACCATTTTCACCGTAAAATTTTTCTTTTCTGTCGTGGATTAATTGCAAATTCTTCGGAACTCACTTAGCTTGTTTGGATTGTCTTTATAAATTAACCTAAAAACAAAGTTTTAAACTAAGGAAAAAAAAACGGATTGCCTATTAAGTAAATTTTTCTTTTCAATATAATTATATTGTGTTTATTTTATTACATAAATTAATTATTTTTTACAATTAACATTGTGAATCATGTACAACACACATAACCAAGAAATTTAGCATTTGTAAAAGCAGGATTTATATCAAAGCGTAAATAGTAAACAACATATACAATTTTAAAATTTTATTAAATTAATTATTTTTCGTTAGTTAATAAATTTTTAAATTAAAATATCTTCTAATTTTTATTTTTTTTTATTTTAACATAGAAATCCTTATTAAAGTAAACTTTCTTTGATTGATAACTTTCATATTATATTAAGCATTGATTAATTAATTAATTAATTAATTAATTTTAATTTTGAACTCTGTTTATTTATTAAAAAAATTAATATAATTTAATCTTTATTCCACTGACTCATTAAAGAATTAAATAATTATGAGATTTACATAGCTATTAAGTTTTAATAATTCTGACATCAAATTAAGGATAGGGCTACATAAACATTTGGTTTTTGAATTAAATTACTTTTATAACATTGGTACTCAAAAATAAAAATTCCTACTTGAGTATCTAAAGTTTCACTTGTTAAGGTACTTTTCCCTTTTTTACTAATATTATTAGTCCAAAAATGTCCTGATATAAATACTCAATAAAATTATGAAATTTGATAAAAAAAATTTAATTTTTAATTTTAATTTTTGAATTTAAAAAATTAAAAAAAAAGAAAAGAAAAAGAAACAAGGTCTAGGATAGGTTAGCAATTTCACTTGTACCTGAGGGGTTATCCATTCCCCGTTCTGAATGGATGTGGGCATGGAGAGCATTTTGTAGCCAATTAGGGTAATTGGGTAATCAAGTTCAGGAGTTATCAGTTTAGGGATGGAGTCGAATGAGGTGAGACTCGCCCTGCGGGTCACCTAATACCTATATATATACATATAATTTGTTTGTTTCTCTTTTTTTTTTTTTATAATTAAAAAATATGTAACTTACAAAAAAAATTTTACATATCACTATATCAAATATTATTTTTTTAATTTTATTGAATTGTTTAGTGTAAATTTGTATATTTGATTTTATTATTTTATTATTTTTTAAATTATAATCAAATATTTGGATAAAATTTGAATTACTCATTATTCGTCGGATATGAGGATGGATAAACAAAAATATTATCTAACAGATATAGATACAAAGATAGGAAAGAATATTTTATAATTGGGTATGTAGAGTGCCGAATTCACCTCAATGGTGACCCATTATCATCCTTAATTGGAGATAGAAAAAATGGTGTGAGAGAAGACAACGTGGGAAAAGGGGTAAGAGAAGAAAGAATGAGAGAAAGAGAGAGAAAAGAGATGAGAGGGGCCAAAAATTTCAAAGTATTTCATTCTCCCACTTGCTCTTTCTTTCTTCCCATTCCACTCAAATTTCTCTTTCCTTGATTTTTCCTCTTTTTTTTTTTTTTTTACTTTTGAAATTCCCTTTCATTTTTTATTTATCTTTTTAAAAATTTCCTTTATCTCTTTTAAATTCCAAAATTTTAACATTTTTTTAATTTTAATTTTATTTTTGTTTAGGGTAAATCTAGGTCTTTTGAATTTTTTTTATTATTAATGGGACGATGGATCCACCACTATGATGTGGCACATACATTTTAACTTATTTGGCGTTTATGTGACAATTGGCAGTTAATTATTAATTCATTTTGGTAACGATATTAGTTCAAAGAAGTAATAGTACAATAATGAAATTTTAAGTACTTAATTATAAATTTTTGTTTTTTAAGTATCAACATGACAAAAAATAGTATTGTACAAACGGCAAATGTATATTTACACTTGGGATTCTTGCCTATCTCTTTGACAATTTAGTAAATTAATTGTGTTTTCCTCTATAAAATTAATAATTTTTTATTAAATTAAAATATTGATCATTTTGTATCTATTTCCTTATTTACATTGAAGTCTTTTTTCGAGTAAACTTTTCTTAATTTATAATTGTTTTATTAAATTAAATATTGATTATTTTTTCTTGAATTCTTAATTACTAAAATAAATAGTTTTTAATCTACAACTTCTGAATGTTAATTGATCCAAAGCATAGTCAACAAAATAAATTGTTTTTAATCATTTATATACTTAGCTATATCAAAAACAGAAAATTTTATTCCATAGAATTATTAAAAAGTTTAAAGAAATATGAACCTTACGTATCTAGTGAATTTCAATACCTTCTACATCCAACTGAAGATACATAGCGGCTGCAAATATAAAGAGATTTTTCTTGATTAATAGATGACTTTTTTTACTTTTATAGATGGTTTTGTGTATTTTTAATTAAATTCATATTATATTTTGACACTTATGATTTATGCATGTTATGGATAATTAGAACTAACATATAAAAATTATAATTCTTATAAAACCGAACAAAACATAAATTTGCTAAAAATTCAATAAGCTAAATGTATTTTCTTTAGTTTTGGTATATTACTAATGTAATCACTAACAAGTGATAATTATTTTGTGAACAATTTCTATTTAAATGATAATAATACTAGTAAATATGTAATTAATAACAAATATGTAATAATGAAATAAAGCAATACAATAGCTATATTATTAATAATTTGTCCTATAGAAGATTATGATATTTATATATAATTTAATTTCTTTAATTTTCTATATAATTAATTATTTGTTTGGAACATTTTTCCAATTCTAATTAGGGCTTTATCAAATACTTGGACTCAAAACTTGAATTCACATCCAATGCTTAAGGTAAATGTTTATTATGTAATATATGTAGACACCTTATTTTGTTTGGAAATTTTTCAAAATTCATTCGACTTCGAAATTTAATTTTGATTGTGCAGATGGGTCTTAATTGAAAAAGTGAATTTTGTGTCTAAAGATTAAGCCTTAAATTTTATTTATATTTTAATTTTTTAGTTTAATTTTTGGTTTGATTTGTGTTATTTTTAATCAAAAGAGTCAGTCAATTAATAAAAAAATTTTAAAAAAGAAAAATATAAGATTTTGCATGAAAAATCTTGGATTCAATTCAACTATTAGATTTTATCTTAGATTTTAACTTTAATGATTGAATAATTTTAGAAAGACTTGAGTTATTGAAAAAAGAAGGATTACATAGAGAATAAAATTTAGAGAAAAAGCCTATATTTGGTTGAATTAATTTCTTTCAAATTAAAAAAGATTCAATCCCTATATAAGGACATTGAATTTGTGATCAAAGGGAGAGCCTGATAGCAATTAACTTTAAGATCAAACAAAGGTCATTGAAAAGAGAAAATTTGGGCAAAGTTTTGAATCAACAATGAAAAAGCAATTGAGCAAAAAAAATTTTTTTTGTAAGAAGATCTAGTTGGAATTTTTGAAAAGAAGGCTAAGTTTTATAGTAGGAAGCATTAGTTTTTAAAAGGTGAAAAATTATTAGAATCCATGATCCATTGAGGTAATGTTTGCTTTCCTTTTTTCATTTTGTGATTTTTGCATAACTTTTATATACTTAATTGCATATTTTGCATGGTTTATATATTCTGATTTACATGATTGCATGATTTATATAATATTATTTGCATGATTATGTATTTAATTGCATGTTTATTTGCATGATTTATGTATTATTAGTTGCATGATTATATATTTAATTAGTTGCATGATTATTTATTTAATTGCATATTTATTTACATGATTTATATATTATTATTTGCATGATTATATGTTTAACTGCATGTTTATTTGCATGATTTATGCATTTTTATTTGTATGATTATATATTTAATTGTATGTTTATTTGCATGGTTTATATATTTAATTGTATGTCTATTTGTATAATTATTAATTTATTTATTTGTGTGATTGTATGATTATTATTATATTTATTTGCATAGTTATTTATTTATTTATTATTATTGCATGATTTTATATTTATTACATGATATGATATTATATGTTATTGCATGATTAATATTTATTTGAATGATATTTGATTGCATGTTTTTATATTTATTGTGTGCATAATTGCATGATTATATTTAATTACATAATTACTAATATATTTGTGTGATTATATTTGATTTTATGATTATATATTTGCATGAATGGTTATTAATATATTTGTATGGTATTTTATAATATTGTATGATGATATATTTGCATGATATTTTATATTTACATGATTGTTATTATTGCATGATAATTAATATATTTGCATGACATTCTTACATGAATATTTTAGTATGATCTAGGCATGATATTATTGCAAGATATCTGGTATGATTTATAAATATATTTGCATGATAATTTTTGTATGGTGTGATTTAATATTTATTACATGATTGCTTGATAATTTGATAGAATTTTTTTTTGTATCACCATGTTTTGTAAATAAATAAAAGGATTGGAATTGATACTAATTTTAGGCATAAAGGGGTGCTAATACATTCCTTACATGTAATCGACTCTTGAACCACTACAGAG